TGAATCTAATAAATGTTTTAAAAACTTAAACTGCAGAATGTATGTAATGTTGACTGGAAGAAAAACTAAGTCCATTTATAAGTAAAATATGGAACTAGAGGCTCTTATAAAGAGCCTGTGTCGCTCACCTTGGTATATGTGCATATTAAACAAAGGACAAAGATGGATTCATGACAAAATTGTGTTTTGGTGATGGTGATGTGTTTGTAGATCTTACTTTACTGAACATTCTTGCTGCTTACAATTATCTCTATCTATAATGAACTTGGCCCAGTAGTTACAGTGGAAAATATTTTGTAAAAATTTACAAAAATTTACAAAATTTATGAAAAAATTGTAAAAAATTGACTATAAAGGGCAATAACTGATTAAGGGGTCAATTGACAATTTTGGTCATGTTGACTTATTTGTAGATCTTACTTTGCTGTACATTATTGCTGTTTACAGTTTATCTCTATCTATAATAATATTCAAGATAATAACCAAAAGCTGCAAAATTTTCTTAAAATTACCAATTCAGGGGCAGCAACCCAACAACGTGCTGCCTGATTGGTCTGAAATTTTCAGGGCAGATAGATCTTGACCTGATAATCAGTTTTACCCTTGTAAGATTTACTCTAAATGCTTTGGTTTCAGAGATATAAGCCAAAATCTACATTTTACCCCTATGTTCTATTTTTAGCCATGTTGGCCATCTTGGTTCGCGGGCGGGGTCATCAGACACATTTTTTAAACTATATACCCTAATGATGATTGTGTAAAAGTTTGGTTAAATTTGTCTTAGTAGTTTCAGAGGAGAAGATTTTTGTAAAAGATTACAAAAATTTACGAAAATGGTTAAAAATTGACTATAAAGGGCAATAACTCCTTAAGGGGTCAACTGACCATTTTGGTCAAGTTGACTTAATTGTAGATCTTACTCTGCTGAACATTATTGCTGTTTACAGTTTATCTCTATCTATAATAATATTCAAGATAATAACCAAAAACGACAAAATTTCCTTACAAGAGTGCACACGCTGAAATGTCTCGCCTTCTTTACTAATCATTGATATTATGTTGATAGTCCTAAATATAAAGCTTATTACAACTGTCACATAAACTTAACATTAACCAAGTAAAACTAAACATTGACCAATGAACCATGAAAATGAGGTCAAGGTCAGATGAACCATGCTGGGCAGGCATGTACAGCTAACAATTCTTCCATACAACAAATATAGTTGACCTATTGCTTATAGTTTAAGAAAAACAGACCAAAACACAAAAACTTAACACTGAGCAATGAACCTTGAAAATGAGGTCAAGGTCAAATAAAACCTGCGTGACTGACAAATAGATCATAAAATATTTCCATGCACCAAATATAGTTGAACTATTGCATATAGTATTAGAAAAAAAGACCAAAACTAAAAAAACTTAACTTTGACCACTGAACCATGAAAATGAGGTCAAGGTCAGATGACACCTGCCCGCTAGACATGTACACCTTACAATCATTCCATACACCAAATATAGTAGACCTATGGCATACAGTATAAGAAAAACAGACTAAACACAAAAACTTAACTATAACCACTGAACCATGAAAATGAGGTCAAGGTCAGATGACACCTTCCAGTTGGACATGTACACCTTACAGTCCTTCCATACACCGAATATACTAGACCTATTGCTTATAGTATCTGAGATATGGACTTGACCACCAAAACTTAACCTTGTTCACTGATCCATGAAATGAGGTCGAGGTCAAGTGAAAACTGTCTGACGGGCATGAGGACCTTGCAAGGTACGCACATACCAAATATAGTTATCCTATTACTTATAATAAGAGAGAATCTAACATTACAAAAAATCTGAACTTTTTTTTCAAGTAGTCACTGAACCATGAAAATGAGGTCAAGGACATTGGACATGTGACTGACGGAAACTTCGTAACATGAGGCATCCATATACAAAGTATGAAGCATCCAGACCTTCCACCTTCTAAAATATAAAGCTTTTAAGAAGTTAGCTAACGCCGCCGCCGCCGCCGGATCACTATCCCTATGTCGAGCTTTCTGCGACAAAAGTCGCAGGCTCGACAAAAATTACCAATTCAGGGGCAGCAACCCAACAACGGGTTGTCAGATTCATCTGAAAATTTCAGGGCAGATAGATCTTGACCTGATAAACAATTTTACCCCATGTCAGATTTGCTCTAAATGCTTTGGTTTCAGAGATATAAGCCAAAATCTACATTTTACCCCTATGTTCTATTTTTAGCCATGGCGGCCATCTTGGTTGGTTGACCGCATCACCGGACACATTTTTGAAACTAGATACCCCAATGATGATTGTGACCAAGTTTGGTTAAATTTGACCCAGTAGTTTCAGAGGAGAAGATTTTTGTAAAAGTTAACAGACGACGCTGGACGACGACGACGACGGACGCAAAGTGATGAGAAAAGCTCACTTGGCCGTTCGGGCAAGGTGAGCTAAAAAATGGAACAAAATTTTATCAAAATTTCCTTCTAGATACTAGCTTTTGATCATAAACAAGCTTCTGTCCAAGTGTGGTACAAATCCAGGATAGTTTAAGAAAGTTGTTAAAATTTTAAAAACTTTAACCACAGAGTGAATGTAATGTTAACTGGCAGAAAAACTAAGTCCATTTATAAGTAAAATACGGAAAAAATGGAATTTTTTTTTTACAAAATTTACTTCTGGATACTATCTTATGATCATAAACAAGCTTCTTTCCAAGTTTGGTAGAAATCCAGGATAGTTTAAGAAAGTTATTAAAATTTCAAAAACTTTAACCACAGAGTGAATGTAATGTTTCCTGGCAGAAAAACTAAGTCCACTTATAAGTAAAATTCGGAAAAAATGGAATTTATTTTTTACAAAATTTACTTTTGAATATAATCTTATGATCATAAACAAGCTTCTGTCCAAGTTTGGTAGAAATCCAGGATAGTTTAAGAAAGTTATTAAAATTTCAAAAACTTTAACCACAGAGTGAATGTAATGTTTCCTGGCAGAAAAACTAAGTCCACTTATAAGTAAAATACGGAAAAAATGGATTTTTCTTTTTACAAAATTTACTTTTGAATATAATCTTATGATCATAAACAAGCTTCTGTCCAAGTTTTGTAGAAATCCAGGATAGTTTAAGAAAGTTATTAAAATTTCAAAAACTTTAACCACAGAGTGAATATTTGTGGACGCCGCCGACAACAACGACGCCGACGGAATGTAGGATCGCTATGTCTCGCTTTCTCGACAAAAACAAGACTTTTTTTTACAGTGGGGCCCAAAAAAGGGGGGTCCAAAATACCTGTGTTTTTAATAATATAAATAAAATGCTCTGCTGGGCGCAGCTTGACACAACCGCAGAGGTCGAACCCTGAACAGTTGGGGCAAGTATGGACATAACATTCAAGCTTGATACAGCTCTGAATCTGGATTGTGATTAAATATTTGACACAGCATAGGTTTCTGACACAGAATGAATGTGGTCGAAGAACTTAAAATTTTTTAATTTACCTATTATGGTCCAATATCCAAAATCTAAATACATACACGGTTATATTAAGCATATCAAAGAACCCCAAGAATTCAATTTTTGTTAAAATCAAACTAAGTTTAATTTTGGACCCTTTGGACCTTAATGTAGACCAATTTGAAAACAGGACCAAAAATTAAGAATCTAAATACACGGTTAGATTCAGCATATCAAAGAACCCCAATATTTCACTTTTTGATGAAATCAAACCATATCATTATTATTTGCTCTTATAAACATGATATATAAATCAAAAATAACCAACTTAAAATGGAAAATAATTATTTGATTGATAGCGTCGAAAAAACAAATAAAAATATTCGCGCTTCGTGCGAAAAAAACCCATAAAAACATAACTTATCTTTCTGGATATTTACACCTTATATAGCCTTTAGGGTCACTAACCATACTTTTGTACATCGAACAGCTCCACCACCAAAAATATACAACACAAAGAAAATTATAATTCACAACAAAAGATATATATATATATATAAATAAGTAGCACACATGTAGTTAGTGATGATGAAACGGAGCCAAATATGGAGCTGCGTTTTGAAACACTTGGGTAGACTTTACATTGGGATGACGTTTCAAGTTGTTAGTTCAGCGACAACTATTTAATTTTTATAAATAGTTTTTGCTCAACTAACAACTTGAAACATAAATATATAAATATATAAATAATAAATATAAGGGGAAGTGGTATGATCGATTGCTAATACACCTTATCATGCTTATCGCTATTTGTCCGCCATTACTGGACATCACACAGGTTCCCGTAAAATTTTGACGTCATAATACAAAATATCTGACGCCACAATGGAAAAGTGATTGTTGTATGACATCAATAGTTCAAGCGGGACAGATTCTCGGGTCAGCCGTGAATAGCGATAAGGTGTATGAGACAACCATCCACCAAAGTTGAAATGACACGGTAGAAGAAATTAAAGGTACCGTACGACCTTCAATAATGAGAAATACCCTACCGTTAACGGTATAGTCGGAAAAATGGGAAATAATTCAATTGAGAAAACTAACAACCTTAATTCATAACGTCTATTTTAAACTTATTACTAGGTGAAATAATCGTGTACAAGTATGCAAATAAAGTTATGAAAACAAATGAGAAATGACTCGATTTTAATCTTAAGAAAGATGTTGGACAGATGTTACTGGTTCTGTATTTCTATTCCATATATGATTTAAAGGAGTTTGTGTTGCCTGAATAAGAAATATTTACTATCTTTCAGCACTAATAACCAAAAATTATGAAAGTGAAAGTGAAAAATGAACTTAAATTCTATATATCTATTATATGATGTTACGTACAGCAATCACATTTCGACCTTTTTCTGTCATTAAGTTCGTCACGGAAATCTTCTCTTGGCTCGATTTGTCTTTTTCTTCCTTTGGGTTTTGCTAAATCTACGCCAGCCATTTGTAAATTCTAATGCAATTAGTTTGTATCAGTGGTTCTGATTGGATGTCAGTAAGCGTACAATTCTCTATCTCCTTGTCTGTAACTAAGGAAGCCGGCATTTTGTATTGAATGTATTGACATGCAATTTTTACAATGATAAGCAAAAAAACTCACATGTTGCACCTAGAAATCTTCTTCTTACCAAATTTAATTACATTCTGAAGCGGCCAAGAAGCCAGAAAACGCCCGGTGTTTACGTTTGACGCCGGAAGCATACCTATGACGTCACATAGTTTAGGGGCCAAAGAAGATAACATCGTTTCGCGGAATTTTCTTTAATGAGAATTTTACACTGAGAAAAAGATTGAAAATGAATAGACCACTTGCACATTAAGTGGCGTTTCGCTTTCAAATCTGCAAAATATATCGACCGTAAATAGGTGGGGCAAAATACGTCACAGTTTTTGCTTGCTTACCATAGCGATTCCGCAAAACAAATTGTTTCATTCTACTTTTCTATTACAATCACGATGTTATCTTTTAAATCATTGACAATTTCAAAGATTCAGCTGTATTTACGAGATAGAGGAATAGTGGCAAATGGTTATAAACAGAGAGATTTGGCCAGTTTAGCTGAGGCGGTGGAAAAATTGAAGATTCCGTATGATCCCAATTTTCTAGCAGACGACGTCGACTCTACCCTACAAGATCGCCTGAGAAGAGCCGGTTGTAGTTTTTCAGACCTGTTTACCTTAGAAGGGTAATTAAGATAATTTTCCATTCATTTCTATGGCTTTTACCCTCCTCTGCATACTTATTTAAACCGGTTTTTGACCGTTTTTTACTAAGGGGGTCCCAACGCGTGGTAGTCTATAATCGGTCATAACGTTGGTTCGTTCGGATTTTGTTATTGTACTTATCATACGGGAAAACTCCGCATTGACGTCACTACGCTAATACCAGCGTATAAAATTAGTGCAGAATACATTTTTTCTACACTTCTAAATAAAATAATATTTCTAAAGATATGTTTTCATTATTATTCTTAAGTATTGTACAAATATGCAGATTTTCTAATGGCCATTTCAAACCTGACTTCCGAATGCCTAAAAGCATTTCAGAACTTAAGAAAACCCCTCTTCCCGCCTCCATTGCTTTGTTTACATTCCATTGAGCGTCGTCAATCTTAATGGCAAACCAAACAGGCCAAGCAAATCGTATTTTTAAGAATTTCAAAATGGCAAGCACCTTACGTCTTCCGCGATTTTCCCGCGAAAAAAAACATCCAAATTGAAAGAAAAACTTTGGGAAACAAACGATAATCATGCCATGTTTTTGTTCAGGAATATAGAGTAGGTTAAGAAAAAACAATATACATATATTTTTCATAAAAAAAAAATTTGGTTTAGTATAAAGAGATCGATATTCTGACCAAAAGTAAATATTCTTATAAAATTCCATTGATGTAAACTTTCATGGCTAATAATGAGTTTTCCTATTGAATAATCTCCCAATTTATTGCAAACTATTTCAAAGCAATATCATACAGACAAATAATATAATTGCCTTGTACTAAAAAATCACCTAATTGACAGTAGAGCAATTTGATTGGATATAACAATTCAATGTGTCACGTGGTTTTGAAGCCATTAGAATTTGAATGTAAACAAACCGGGTCAGCTGCTCCCGTATGGAACAACATCGTACATTCAGTGACTGAGAAACAATTATGAGTAACCAAGCTTGACAATACACAGTAATAAAAAAACAAAACTAAGTCTAAGAAAAATAAAGTAAAAAATGGCCTTAAGTGCACGACTTACCACCATTGCGGGATATGCCCATATACTTTATAGTACAGCCCGAAGAATGCCCTCAGATTTGAGGGAATCTCAAATTTCACAACTGATTAGCTTCACAGTTTGAAGTCCTTGTAATTTATTATATCACTCTTCCCAATAAACTGACCACAGATGTTACACATAGATTATCTGATAAGATGATAAGAAAGCCAACATTTTGGCATTTTCTGTCTTTACTTGAAATATAAATATATTTACTTCATGTAGCATTATCTATATATATATATATATATGTATATTCTTCTAGTCAGTTTTTTTTTTATTTATTTCTGTCAAAGAGCTCGTAATAAATATTTTTTTTGTCAATTTTTATTTATTTAAATTAAGAATAGATTGATAATTTGTTGTCATTTTAAAGATTAATTCTGATTTAATAGAAATGAATATTCTTTGTAATTTTCACATTTATTTTTATAAAATGTCATTTTATGATATATAGAAATTTCCTAAATATTTAAACGAAATTCTGAATAAAATATTCATAAAGCAAAGATATAAGAACACCCCCCCCCCTTTTTATGGACCTATTATGATATACTGTTGTCCGTCTGTTCGTCGTCAACATTTTTTTCCTGTTTTTGGACAATATCTTTAACGTACTTCGAGCAGTTTTCATTAAATTTGGTGACTGGTTTACATCTATTAAGATAACCTCCCTTTAGTTTTTCATGAATTTCTGATATGACATTGAGAAGTTATTGAACTGAATTGTTTGAAAACGCGACAGGCATAATATGCGCTCATGGCACAGCTGTCTTAATATTATTTTTATGTTTAATTTTCATTTGAAAGCATTCTTTCATATATCAACTTATTTATCTTATTTGAAGTGTTTGATTGCACTCTTTTCAATGCGATATACCAGAAAAAGTGGTTAATATACTTAGTCAGTAGAAAATTAAGGGGGAGGGTCCACTCCTCATTTGCATATGAATAAAAATGGATAAAATTATATATTAAAAAATGCAGAATATATATGCTATACAGTGTATATATGTATAAGTCCTGGACCGGATTGATTTTAATATCGTTAGTTGAGTATCCCCATAAGTGAAATAAAATTCGAAACCATTCTAAATATTACTAAAAAGGAAATATATAGGCTATGGAAACCCGATGCGGATAAGCCTAGGTCTACCAAGGATTAAAAGAAGATACATTAGATTGGTTCTTGACCCGATTGATTTTAGTATAATTAAATTGATACATTTTATTAAAACATATCAAATTTACTAAAAGAGCAAATAATTTTTATCATGCATAGCATTTCCAAATTAGCTGTAGAAATCCTATTTTCATCAACATGCAAAGAAAAATTAAATTTATATTTTTTTAATTGAATTTTTGATGAAAACACTGCAAAAAGGTGGGGGAAAATTAGAAATCACCTTGTCTATGCATGAGAATATTTTATAAATAAGAATATATAATGTATTTAGTGTAGATGATATGGCAATTGGATAAACTTGACCAGCTAACCATCTGTGTTTATTTGATAACATCAGTGGACACCAACTGTGAGAGAAGCACTTAACCTAATCATTTAATTGCTTGTATAAACAATCAATTACATGGTTTCAATGCTGAATATCAGGAAAAATCCGGGCTGTTCTATAAAGTACATACTAAACTTGCCATAAAGTTAACCAAAATTCGTATCTTTACCTAACTTATAATTTTTATTAGATCCCTTGTCGTTTGAATGAGTTATACAGTCAAAATAAGTCAGAAAGTCATATTTTCGGCCTTCTTTTAATTTACGGGCTCCCAACCTATATAAAAATATGCTCAACTAAACTTTACCCAAACCCATACCTTACCCTGACAGTAGCTCTAAATATAAAACCTTACTTTAACCTAGAACATCACATATATGCTAACAATTTTGACCATAAATGAACCCAAGACCTTAAGTTTTTTTTCATGATTTACCTAACCCATAACCTGAACATTACACGGTCTTCCCTAGAAGCCAACCCTTAGAACCTAGTTTCAACCCTAACACAAAAGTTAAAAGTACCAATAACCACTGAAAATAGGTTAAACCTAATCCTTACACACAGGGCCATGTACCCTAACCATATATAGCATAGCACCAGTCCCATCTTTAAAACCTAACCCTTACATTACCAAACCATACATAGCACATATGTTAGTCACATCCCTTAAACTTAACCCTTACCTAACCCAACCATAACACAACTTGTGCCACAAGTCCAACTTTACCATACATGCCATATCACTAGTCCCATCCATAAAACCAACCTCTGTCTTAACCTTAAAACCTAGTTGTAACCCTAACCATAAATAAACCATATATTACCCTAAAGTACTGGGATCCCTAAAGTAAAAGAAGGGTCATTCTTCCTTACCTGTGTGTCTGAAGCCAATTACTAAAATATATTTTTCTAGCAGTATAATGAAATAATTTTTAAAACTCATATTATTTCAGCATTTTTTCAAAAATATGATTATCCATGTCAGTCCAAAACAATTTTATTAAGGGAGCTACGATTTCACTTTGGGTGGGTGGGGGGCTAGGCTAGGATGAAATTGAAAAAAAAATAGGCATGACAGAAGTTTTGAGTAAAAAAAAGGCGGGTTGAGGCACTTTGCCAAAAAAAAAAAGGCAGGATATGACAATTCATGTAAAAAAAGTCAGGATAAACTAATAAAAAAAAAAGGCAGGACCGTATAGAGTGAAAAATAAAAAAGCAGGACAGAGATTACAATTTAAAAAAAATGCAGGACAAAATTTTTCACCCCACCCCCTTAACTATCAAATAGCTCCCTAAGAAGAAACAACCCTACATGTATGCAAACTTCTAAATATTGAAAACTTTTAAGACTTTAAACTTTTTAAAAAATAATAATATAACAATAACTGTTCAATTTTCTATAAACTTTTTCCATTAGAAGTAAATAGACTCAGTTCAAAAGAATATCCATTAATAGCAATTTTACATTATAATTAAAGGGATAGCCCATGGCTCCTAAAATTTAGTCGTTCAAAACATGTAGCTATTACATTTTTTTTATACAATTTTACTTGATCGATAATATACCACATTCTTTAATATAAATATTAACTGCCAAAAACTTAAGAATTTTAGGGTTTAATGAAATAAAGTCATTGTATGAGTAAACTCTTGAATTGCAAGAATTAAGCGGATATTATCACAATTATCATAATTTTTCCACATTGATTTTCTTTTTATTTCAAGTCCAACAAATTTATGTTAGTATATAGATTAAGATATACTTAACATTTTGTTGTACATGTACTATAATATATCATTAAACATCTATTTAGAAAATACTTTATGCATTTTCAGGTCCTTTAATATTGTACAAGTATATATAACTTTCAACTGTCTAGTATATATAACTTTCAACTGTCTGAACTGCATGTACTGGCGAGGGCTCATATTCCCAATCAGTATTTTTCACCTTACTATTATACATGTCTTACTAGAATAATCTGTGAATTTCATACCAGCAATGTATTCTGTAGTGTTAATTTGAAATCCTTTTATTTTTCAGATATGTTGAAGATTTTTCTGGTGTACCGGACTTTTCCTTGTATGACATTTTCAATTATTTGTTGTTGCACCGTTCAGATTACGATAAAAAGAAGTTGAAAGCTTATAAGAGTGCAGAGGACTACCGCTTGTTTTACGATGGACATGTCCAGGAAATGAAAGTCAACTACTTAAAAGATGACAGCTCAGTTTGTGTTTTTATAGGAAAGGTGAGGCCAACACAGAGGGCAAAGACGTTGACTGGGAAGATGACCTACCAGTGCTGGTTTGTTGTTGAGAAGACTCTAGGTGATGTTAAAGCAGCTTACTGTGAATGTCCAGGAGTGTAAATATAAAAATATTATATTTGACAAATTCTCGACCCACTCTAGTTTCTATTGTAATATAAAAATAAGAAGATGTGGTATGATTTCCAATGAAACAACTCCCCACAAGTGACAAAATGACAGGGAAAGTAACATCTATAGATAACCATACAATCTTCAACAATGAGAAAAACCCATAGGGAATAGTCAGCTATAAAAATTTTGAAATGACAAATGTAAAACAATCCAAAATAAAATGCTCCGCAGGGCGCAGCTTGATACCACCGCAGAGGTCGAACCCTGAACAGTTGGGGCAAGTATGGACACGACATTCAAGCTTGATACAGCTCTGAATTTGGATTGTGATTAAATATTTGACACAGCATAGGTTTCTGACACAGAATGAATGTGGTCTAAGAACTTAAAAATTTTAAATTGGACATTCACCTATTATGGTCCAATATCCAAAATCTAAATACATGGTTAGATTCAGCATATCAAAGAACCCAAAGAATTCAATTTTTGATGAAATCAAACAAAGTTTAATTTTGGGCCCTTTTGACCTCAATGTGGACAAAGTTGATAACGGGGCCCAAAAATCAAAAATCTAAATACATGGTTAGATTCAGCATATCAAAGAACCCCATAAATTCAATTTTTGTTGAAATCAAACAAAGTTTAATTTTGGACCCCGATTTGGACCAACTTGAAAACTGGGCCCATAATCAAAAATCTAAATACATGTTTAGATTCAGCATATCAAAGAACCCTAAGAATTCAATTTTTGTTAAAATCAAACTTAGTTTAATTTTGGACCCTTTGGACCTTAATGTAGACCAATTTGAAAACGGAACCAAAAATTAAGAATCTAAATACACGGTTAGATTCGGCATATCAAAGAACCCCAATAATTTAATTTTTGATGAAATCAAACAAAGTTTAATTTTGGACCCTTTGGACCTCAATGTGGACCAATTTAAAAACGGGGCCCAAAATCCAAAAACTTAATACACGGTTAGATTCAGCATATTAAAGAACCCCAAGAATTCAAGAATAAAACCCCATTGAAATTGGTCAAGAAATAAGCAATTTATACGAAGTATCTTCTTTTGCACAATACTGTGCAATTGAATATTTCTTGCTATTGCGCAATACTGCACAATTGACAATTTCTTGCTATTGCGCAATATTGTGCTATTGGATATTTCTTGCTATTGCGCAATACTGTGCAATTGAAGATTTCTTGCTATTGCGCAATACTGTGCAATTGAAGATTTCTTGCTATTGTGCAATACTGTGCAATTGAAAATTTCTTGCTATTGCACAATGCTTATTATATAATAATTTACACATCCTGTTTGGTGTGTATCTCCTACCATATCATTATTATTTGCTTTTAAATATAAATCAGAAATAACCAACTTAAAATGGAAAATTTTAAAAGAAAAAAAAAATTAAAAAAAGAAAAAAAAAGGAAAAAAAAAAAAAGTCCCCCCCCCCATTCAAATTTTTTGAACCCCCTTATAATTCATCACCCCCAAACTCAATCCCAGCCTTCCCTTTGTGGTATGGTACCTTGCAGTACAATTTCAGAGAGATGCATACACTTGAACACAAGTTATTGTCTGGAAACTAGAAAAATGTGTTTTTTGGCCCCTTTTTGGCCCCCAATTCCTAAATGTTTCGGGCAATTACCCCCAAACTCAATTCCAGCTTTCCCTTTGTGATATGGAACCTTGTAGTACAATTTCAGAAATATGCAACACTTACACACAAGTTTTTGTCATGAAACTAGAAAAATGCTTTTTTTGCCCCTTTTTTGCCCCCTAATTCCTAAAATTTTGAGGCAATTACCTCCAAAATCAATCCCAGCATTCCCTGTGTGATATGGAACGTTGTGGTACAATTTCACAGAGATCCATACACTTGAACACAAGTTATTCTCTGGAAACTAGAAAAATGCTTATTTTTGGCCCCTTATTACTAAACATTTTAGGCAATTACCCCCAAACTCAATTCCAGCTTTTCCTTTGTGATATGGAACCTTGTAGTACAATTTCAGAAAGATCCATACACCAACACACAAGTTATCGTCAAGAAACTAGAAAAATGCTTGTTTTTTGCCCCTAATTCCTAAATTTTTGAGGCAATTACCCCCAAAATTAATCCCAGCATTCCCTTTGTGATATGGAACCTTGTGGTACAAAATCAGAGAGATCCATACACTAACACACAAGTTATGTCTGGAAGTTACAAAAATGCTTATTTTTGGCCCCTTATTTCTTAACTGTTGGTACCATAACCCCGAAAATGGTAAAATTTCATAGAGATCCATTCACTTAAACTAAAGTTAGAGTGCGAAAACCAATGTGTCTTCGGACGACGACGCCAACGTCATACCAATATACGACTGCAAAAATTTTTGCGGTCGTATAAAAAAAGCTAATGGTCTGATTTATGTACAAAATAGTGAAAGAAAAACAAATATGAAATATTTCAACAAACAATGACCCTTTTATTACAGATTCCTGACTTGGGACATGCACATACACAATGTGGTGGGGTTAAACTAGTTTGTAAGTACATTTGTATGACAACCTCAAGTGCAGGGTGATGAGGTATAAATAATTCATTGCTATTAAAGTCAAAACTCAAGGTTGGTTTTCTAGCTTCTGTGTCCAGTATTTGGCAGGTAGAAGTTAACAATTCTGCTGATGTAATTTGATGACTTGCAATCTAAAACGCTCATGTTTAGTAAACCGTTTTTAAAAATCTATAAAGATATTAGTATTATACAGATCATTTCACAAATGAACATGTATGCATGTACTAACTTTCTCTAAATACAATTTTATTGCAGTGCTGATGGAGCTTGTCGTCATGTTGCAGCATGCTTATACGAGTTGGAGGCATTTGAGAAGAAGTCTGTTACTGACGGTCCTTGCCAGTGGAAGAAACGAAAGAGGGAACACGATGAGCCAGTAGAGGTGGAACGAATGAAGATTATCAAGCTAAGGTTTTAACTTAATCATTTTTTATCTTTAGCACTGGTAAAATGAAAAAATTAATAAAAATATTCTAGATTTCCTCATATATTACAGTATTTAGTATATATATATATAGAATATTCCTCATATATTACAGTATTTAGTATATATATATAGAATAATACATGGCAAAATCCGTATCGCATGCTGTATCACCATCAGAAACCAATATCAGTCCCGAGGGCTGATATTGGTCAAGTGGTGATACAGCATGCGATACGGATTTTGTCATGTATTATTCTGTTTATCATATATTTAAATAGAATCAGATTAATGTCATATATGTTTTTTTTTTAAATCGTCCGAAAATATAACAAACAAAAGAACATAAGGATTTTCCTGTATTTTTCCAGGTGACTTAAATTTTTGTAATAGACTTCCTTATTTGCTTAATATCCACATCGTAATGTCCCCTACAACCTTATTACATGCTCAATATAAAGCTATGAAACTGGCAAATAATATACTTTATGACCATGTATTTAAACGCATTCACTAACAATAGTGTCAACTGTTCCCTCCTGTAGAATACAACCCACCTTCTCAATATTTGTTGTTAAATTTAATCATTATACTACAATCTGAACTCATTTGTATACATAAATATGGACAACAATGTTGCCACTTATCACATATTCAAAGATTATTAACAGACAAACAGGGGATTCCAATATACATGATATACACAGTCATTGGACAAAAGTGAGTTCCCACTAAAAAAAACTTATTGTATCTATTTTATAAAAATCGCTTATAAAGTTCTACTGGGTAATATTTTTTTTGAAAAATATAGATTTGAGTTGAAATGATATGACATTTCTTTAGTGGGAACTCACTTTTTTCCTATGCCAGGAAATACAGCAACTGGACGTCATAGGTCAAACGTTGACATCATTTGATTTATGACGTCACGCCAGGTATGTGATACGGATTTAGCTATGCGATACAGGTTTAGCTATGCGATACGGGGTATGCGATACAGACTGAAAAAAAGAACCTTTATTAGATATACAAAATTGCTATATTTTGTACTAAATATATGATAAATACATGTATATCATATATATATGTTACACACAGATCGACATCTGGCCTCGAATCTAAAAAAAAACCATTTCAATGCATATTTTTTTTATATATTTATTAGGAATAAGTTATTTTAATAAGAACTTTGTTTTCATTTTTCTTGTCGCTAAATAGTCTTCTTGTCGCTAAAATATTCTTCTTGTCGCTTCTTGAAGTTTCTTTCGCTACTGAAAACCTTGAAATCCTAAATACATACAATGCCAACATTTTATGCTTTACCAATAAATACATTTAAATATTGTAATATCCCAAAATAGGAGGATGGAAGCATGTGTATCATCAGCAGACCATGTAGTATCCAGTTTTGATCCTAGACAGATGGTTGACAGAGCTGCAGAAGACGAGAAGATAAAACAGTTTGCAAGTAAATTAGCACAGGTATAACAACAAATAATTTAACAACACGCCCACCGGTTTTATTAGTGGATACACTATACATTCAAGTACAGCGCCCTCTAGCGACTCCTCTTGAGGTTTGAAATCATATTGTACAGATATCTTTATTGTATTTAATTTTTAAACCTCAAAATGAAGTCTTGAGCAGAACTCGTGTCCATTACAAATAGGTATCATGGTGCTTACACATGGTGCATAGTTATAACATACACCAACCATTCTTGTAAAGTTAAAGGACTGACAAAATTGGACAGTAACATTTACAAATTCAAAAATATTAACAGCAAAAAATTAATCAAAATAATTATTTTTGTGCCAGACATTTTTGTAACAATATAACACACTTGAATACTTAAATACTACTCATATTATAATTAATTTTTATTAACAGTGAAAGCTTTATTTAATACTGCATTAGTGTTCTTAAATGTTCAATGCAATATCAGTATTTTTTAAAATTTTTGCACTGCAGCACATATATATATATTTATTTCTTATGCAGCAAAAATACTGCAATCTGATTGGTTAATTACCCCGGTGTAAATAACACCCCACCTTGTTCACCCAAGGATAAATAAAATTTTGCCAAAAAATTTTAAAAAATGAAGTTTTGCCAAAATAAAGAAAAAAAAAAATAAAATGTCAAAAAAAAAAAAAAATAAATAAATAAATGTGAGGACAAAAATTGAAAATAAAAAATTATTTAAATTTTTTTTTCCCCAAAAAATTCAAAAGAACACAAAAAATTTCTAAATTCCCAAAAATAAAGAAAAAATATATTTGACAATGCGCAGCAACATCGACGTTGAAAAAATGTTACACCGGAAATTTTTCATTACCACTTTTCAATTTTACATCCTTGTTTAAAAATTAGTAAAGGAATTGTTCATAAGAAATAAATTCGTTATCTTGGTGTAATCAGGGGTGTACGGAATTTTACACCGTTGTTGAAAATTCATACACCCATTCGGCTGCGCCTCAGGGTGTTTGAATTTTCAACAACGGTGTAAAATTCTGTACACCCCTGATTACACCAAGATAACTAATAATATGCACCATGTGTAACCTTTTTAATTTACGACTTTAAAAAAATTAATTCTTATTTCTAAAAAAGTTAGTATAGAAAAGGTAACAGTTTAGTTTGTGAAATTTATGCTTTGAATTTTTTTCAAGTTTATCATTGACAGGATTTTGCAATCAATTCAGCAATTTCAAAACTAATTTAAAAGGTTTTTAAGACAGTTTATAAAAAAATGAAGTTCTGCTCCTGACTTTAACAAAACACCACAAAGCCAGTAAAGGTAAAATTTAAAATTATAAACAAAAAACAAAAATATCAACAAATTCATTTTTTATTACTTACCAACTCTGAAAAAAAATAGCATTAGTAAGAACACACCCTTAAACATTGTATAAATTTTTCATATTTAATTTCCTTTTTTAAATTTTTCACAACTTACTTTTAAGAAAATACATCATATATAGATTTATTAAAATGTCGAATTCACATAAAAATTATACATTATATCTTGTACCATTGTCCAGCAGATTCTCAGTTAATATTTTTCTTCAAATTCTTAAATCAACAATGTTATTTTTTTCCTGTAAAATATATAATTAATGCTTTGGTTAATTCAAGTGATTTTTTAAATAGATAAATCCCGAGGCCAGAGCACTAGAATTTCTACCCCATGAACCAGTAGATGTGGTACAGATGGACTATTCAGAGGCACTACAGGACTTGACAATTCCTACCAAGGCTAAGTATTTTAAAGATAAGTATGTATGCTTAATTGATAATGAAGAGGACATAGTTGAAAAATTTATGGCTACCTTATCATTCAGTTCAGATGATGTGATGCTTATATCAAAGGCAACTCAGGGCCAGAGTAGCAACAATTTATGGTTCACTATGAGGAAAGGTTTAATTACTGCTTCTAACGTTCAGGCTATAATGAATAATGAGGACCCAGATCTTATTTGCAGCCGAATTATAGGTAGTGAATCAGTTTCTGTAAAGAATAAATTCCAAGAAATGGCCTTAGACTGGGGTAGACGCAAGGAATCAAAAGCCAGGAACCTATACCAAACAGCTCATGGATTGAAAAGGAATAAATGTATAACTGAAACTGGTTTGGTGGTAAATCCGAAGTATCCATGTATAGGTTGTAGTCCAGATGGAGTGATCACATGTAAATGCCATGAGAGTAAGGTTATTGAAATTAAGTGTCCATTTTCACTAAGAAACAAATCTGCTAAATCTGTATTACACATGAAAACTAATTCTGATGGTCAAATTGATTTTTCTTCACAGTATTATTGTCAAGTGCAAGGACAAATGGGAATTATGGAGATGAGAAAGTGTGATTTGGTATTCTACACCAAACATGGAATAGAACAGGTAGAAGTCAGCTTTGATGAAGATTTTTTTAACAGAATGCTGGTGAAACTGCAAAACTTCTTTACAGATTATATTGCACCATTTCTTCAAGAAATAGTGAGTAAAGACAACTAATAAAAATAAGTCTTCTAAAAATTGGTCAATGGGTACTTTAAATATTTTCATATATATTTGAATCTATAAGTCATTTTCATATCTATTAATTTTTTTCATTCCAAAATACTATACGACTCAAAATCATGGTTCTTTGTACTTGAACAATTTATTTAAAGCAAAAGATTATTTTTTCTTCTGGGTGGTGGGTTCACTTAGCTAAATGTATGAATTTATGTATTTTAATATATTTTTAACAATTTTCAATAGATTTCTTCCAAATTTTTGAAAGCACTGACCAGTTTTCAGACTATGTGTGATTTCTGTAGTAGAGAATTGATAAGAAGTAGTGGATTCGTAGACGATAATCAACGAGCGACTTTAGTCGCAAGTTGATTATCGTTTCCGAATCCACTACTTCTTATCAATTCTCTAGCTTAACCCATTTCTATTAAAACGACTGTCTGTTTTACGTTTTGACAATGAATCAACGAGATTTCATAAAAATAGTTTAGTATTTTGTCATTTTTATTCTATAATAGCTGGAAATGATTATATCCACACAGTTCGCATCTATAATTAGACATTTGACAAGTTAACATAAGTTTAAGATAACTTAAATGGGGTGTTAGCTCCCCTTTTTAACACCAGATTTTAGTTTTGTATATACATATTCCATTTAATGTTTAATCATTACAAATTATTTATATTGAATAGATTTTGGTATATTTAATTTATTCAAAAAGACATATATTAATATACAGAATTTATTTATCTTGTTTTGAAAAGTTAAAAAATTTTAATTACCAAAATTTAGAACCTTCAAAATTTATATATATAATATTTAGCAACAAATTTTGGTTAATTGCAGACTAAACACCGTTAAGCCGTTCTTAGTCAAAAAAATATTGATAAGGTAGATGCCATAAATCTGCCATTTCATAATGCTCAAATTCATGTTGCTTTCCTAAAGTATTAAAATTACGATTTTACTTACGATTTAAATTGAACAATTATATTCAAATCTGTTTAAACTGTTTCCGTTTCATTAAGTTACGATTATTTTAACGTTATAATTACATTTGGCATATATCGTTCACCGGTAAATAAACTAGTTTTATCTGAGGTACGCATTCTGAATCCCCATCAGAATTGCTCTTGCTACGGATGTACAATGAATAGTTATCTTGATTTCATAAACTTACCATCAAGCTGTTCATAGCTGTGATCGTCTAGTCGTTGGTAACGAATGTCATAACGGTGATATTAACAGTGCAAAGTTCGAACCTTGTATCCGGAATGAAATTTTTTCATTGTAATTTTTTTCTCGATAAAAATAGTTTTAATTTTAGAGGTATTATATACTTCATTTTCATGTAAAGGCGATGATTATGTTTCTGGTTTTACAGTCAAAGAAGTAGTTTTACGGTCGTAGCTTATATATCACACTTTACTCAAATTAGAGTCCGTTCAATGTTGACGTGATATAAATAAATTTGAAAAGAACATGAACAAATCCAGACATAGTATATATATTTTGTTAGATAACAAAAGCGAATTATCTCTGAGATAGAAATACAGTTTATTGACATGTATTGACAGTTGTGCGCTTTAAGAGTGTTATTTAAATAATGATTTATGTGAGCACTCGTGGTATAGTGGTATCATGCATAGACTGAAGACTCTACTGATTATGAAGAAAATACGCGCGAGTTCGAACCCTTCATATGCCACTCGTTTTTGAGAGGATAAAAAATCGTAAGTTAAAAGTTTAAAGTTATAAAATAAGTTATCTTAAGTTAACGAAGTGGTCAGTGGATTCTTGATTAATAATCCACTGTAAGAACAATAGAATGACGTCAGAGAAATGGGTTAAACCTTGCCTAATTAAGAGTAATTCCTGCGTTGATAACAGTCTAGTATGTTAAATTTTCAATGATAATTGTTTCATGCATATTCAGGAAGATACATGTGCTTGTCCTGGCTTTGTCATCAACATCAAAAAATTCAAACTATATAAAACAGACAAATAGAACTCGAGAAATTTTCACTCACCATAGGCTTTTTATTATAACCTATTACATCTGATATTCTACAATGATATTTGTAAAACCTTGTAAAAGATTGTAATTTTTAATACACCCATGTCTACTGATGATACTGCATGCTGACATGAAGGGCATATGATACAGTTACAGGGGAGGTAATGACTTTGCTAAAGTAAAATGTTATTTTTGCGACGTTAAACTGTGACATATCGGGAAAAGATGCAGTTTCATCTGTTTTTTATTTTATGGTTTAAACTGATTTAACTTGGAAATGAGTGGAAAGGCCCCTCTTTTTACAATGGCATATTCATTCGGTTTGATTACGTATGAAAATTATTTGTACCAATTTAAATGAAAAGTCAACATTCTTTTTTTTTAGATTTGATAAATATACTGCAAAAAAATCCATTTTTTCCCTAAAATCTGAATTAATTATTTCCAAAGAA